AGCCGCACCTCCTCCACAGCGAGTCTGTTACCTTCCCAGCTTTGAATAATGCCGGTACCCATTTAACACCTGGGTTGAGAGGAGTTATTGATGTAAGCGCCGTACTCACTAGGACACAACACGCATGGCCACGGCGGAGCTCGAACCCACAATCTCACGATCTTGAATCCTGTGCCCTACTGTTCGACCACACGTGCCCGGGACAAAAAAAATAAATTGATCTTGGGCCCCCCCCAAAAAAGTCTCCGGTTTCTGGTATGGAGCTTGTCCAAAAAGTGGTGCGGCGACGCGACTTTTTTTTTTTATTTACCTGACTTTTTTGCTTCAAATGTCGGCTGATGACTGCAAATGGTGCCCGACTAAACTTAGTGCAAATATATAGGAGTCGAGAGAGGCCACATAAAGCTTATTCTCGATCATAACCCCATCTAAAAACACGTTAAAATTGTGCAGCAGCAGGATTCCAGTCAAACCAGTGAGTTTGGCGGTTTTGAGACATCATCTTTCATTGAAAAAAAAACTTTTTCATTTTGCCGACGCGCATGGCTACGGCGACGCGCGCGCATACCAGAAACCGGAGACTTTTTTTTTTTGGCCTTGTGGTTTTCAGTCTTTTTCATGGTTGAATGTTTTTCCATTTTTGGGGGGATCTTCTGTCACTGTTTAAGATTAAATTCAATTTTACTTCCAGGATGATCCGCTATCTGCCTTAGATGTCCACGTCGGTAGCCAGCTCTTCCAAGACGGCATAATAGACCTACTGCTGGAGAGCAAACGGACCGTGGTGCTGGTCACTCATCAGCTGCAGTACATGAAATATGCACACAAGGTAAGCAGCAGTGCCTTCAAATTTTACATCTAATAAATTGCCTTTGCAGGAGCTTAAAGTGCTGTGTGGCTATCACAAAAGCAAGTGAGGGACAATGTAAGTGTAAGTTTGCAGTTGCACCTTATGAAAGACAATCCCTTTTGTGACTGTGGGGTTTGAGAAGAACCAGTGGAAACTCAACTTTTCAGACAATATACTCTGCCCGTCGTCAGGAGACACACGGTACAACCACAAACTTGCACTTGTTGATGACGTCACCGTGCAAACTTTATTATCACATCATGTCTTCCTAGCTTTCCAAATTAACTCTAGCATTCTACTGGAGCTATGGAATAGATGCTTACACGGCAAGTGTCTGTGATATGCGTACATATTATACAAAAAAAACACTGCGTCTTGACCTCCAGATTCTGACCATTCAGCAGGCGCCTTCTATTGTGTCTTCGGTAAACCGACGATGTATGACAAATACATGGTAGCTAGTGACCAATCAACAGCTTTGGCTGAATGTCTGCTCTAAATGACCTTACAACTTCTAATGGCAGCTACAATTGGCTGGGGTGCAGGGTTGCATAAAGATGTGCAGGCTAGGATATATCAGACGTTTGTAGTGTGGCTCTGCATACAAGGTTTGATCCTCTAAATAACTTGAGCTAGACCAATTGGACAAACACAAACTGGCTATGTCTATCAGGGCTGCATACGCTGCCTACTCAACTGACTGCACAAATGTACGGACCCTTTGTTAAAACAGTGGTAAGTAAGGAAGCCAAGTGGTAACGGAGGAAGTATTTAAAGGAAATATACAACATTTGCTTTGCTGCAATTTTCAGAAATAAATGGATTTGGAGGATTAGTATGTTGTAGCAAATATTGTTAAACAGACTTGTTTCACGTTTTGGGCTTGTAAATGCTGGTAAAACCAAGAAAACCAATCATGTTCTTGTAGTCTGGTTCTCTGACCCCACTTAAGATGAAGCAGAGAAATTTATGGACTTTGGGGAATTGTAAAGTCAGAGAATCAGTCTGTCAGGCTTGTGCCCCTTCACAGGTGTGTAATCAGTTGCAAAGTAAATGCGGAACAACTGTTATGAAAAATTCAAAGCGGTTTTTAAAAAAGCCAGTTTTCTCCAACGCTGGTTGGCCGACCAGAGTTGGAAAATGTCAGCACACCAGGAGACACGATATTACAGTACGCTGTCATGTAGACTGTCATTTCTTCACAATCCAGTAAGGTATTTCGTGATAGTTTGATCGTTTTGTTTTTTGATGTTTGCAAATGTTGTATTTTCCCTTTATTGGTTGTGCCTGCAGACTCTGCTGTCTACAGGCAGTCATCACTGAAGCCGTGTCTTACAAAAAATCATATTTTTTGACCTCACCAAGGTCCTGGTGATGAAGGATGGACGTGTCAGTCTCCAGGGCACACCCAGCGAGGTCTGGGCAGCTGACCCGACCTCCAGATCACCTCCAAGCACCTCGCTGAGGCCGCCAGCAAGTCAGAGGTGGAGTCTGGGGATGAGGAGGCGGCGAAGGAACGAGAGATGCTGCTGAAGCTGGTGGAAGAGAAGAAGAAAGAGGAAGAGAAAGGTAATTTCAGATGTTGCACATTGTCATTTTTGAATTGAAATTGAAATTTCTTAATTTGTTATAAAAAGCTATGTCCTCTCTGAGTGATCCCCGTTTGCTATTTCCTAGTTTTGCAACATTGCTAATATTGCTGGCATCGTGACTTTGGGCGTGGTCTCTGAATACATGGCATTTACGAGTTTATGGCTTCTGACTAGCGCCCCTTGAAAAATAGACATTGACTAATTTTCACTTGAGCGTCAGGCATCTTCGGCAATGCATTCGAATGTCCCTCTCAGTGGTCTCTCCCAACTCTCCCTTCCTTACCGTTGAGGGGGTACTTGTGCACGGAGCCCATAGGTATCACTCAAAGAAGATACAGGGCCTGTTTGTTTCATTCCAGATCCTGATTGAGATCATGTGATCCAGCACCGTGTGAAAACGATCTGGACCACTCTCGCGTGTCAAATCCTTTAGGGCGCACACGAATGTTCTCTGCTTCAGATTTTGTGGACAGAAGGGCTATATTTGTGATAAGCTATCTATAATTTCCAGGAAAAGTCAATCAGTTGTACTATTGTTAATCACAAAAATTCATTGAAACAGAATTATGAAGATTAATCGTCACAAAAGCTCATTTGATGCTTCAAATCTACTAAAAAATACCAATTTTCTCTCTGTCCGTTGCGCATGTCGCCATTTTGATCTTGCGAATCCACCTCGTGAGCAGGAGCATAAGCCATGATTCGGAGCAGCTATCGATGCGTCAGATTACTGATCGCGATCCGTATCTGCACGAAACAAGCAGCCCATAGTCTTGTAGTTCAAATGACCGAGTAAACCATAAGAGAGGGAAGTGACTAGACGAAATATCTTACCATTAATAATCTCATCAATCAGGCCAGAAAGTGTCGGAGGAGGAGGGCCGGCTGATCGAGAAAGAGGAGCGCAACACAGGCTCCCTCTCCTGGAAGGTGGTGGTCTTCTACCTGCGTGCCATGAAGTACCCGCTAGCCTGCCTGGTGCTGGCACTGACCGTCCTGCAGCATGGGCTCCTAGTGGGGACCGACTTCTGGCTGTCCAGATGGTCCGAGGCCGGCGACAGACTTGCCGTGGAAAACGCCACCGAGGTGCTGACCTTTAACTCATTAGTTTCTTTACCACCCAAAACTGCCCTGCCTGTTACTCCCTATAAAACACTCAATATCACCCATGTAGTTTGTTTTATGGATTCACCCAAGAGTTTAAAACAATGTAATAAATACAACTTCATCAAATTTTCGAGAAAATGTTCTATTCATTCCCTTCACTTTCCAATTTGCACGAATAGGTTTTGGCTGCTTTCAAAACAGTTTTTGCCACTGTTTCTTTTAGTTTGTTTTTCGTTACACATTGACACAAAACTGTAGATATCCGTAACCATCCAAAAAACTTGGGAAACGGACAAATTTGACCAAAAAAATCTGAAAGATCTGCTTCTCAGGTAGAGAGTTAAAAAAATGGAATCTGCAGAGTACTCCGCAGTGTTGCAGTTAAGTCCATCACAAGTCCACCTAAGTTTTCTAAAAAAACTCATTGCTCGAACCATAACCACCTCACGCCTTCAAAATACAACTGCATGTTTTGTTGGAATCTGTTGGAGTGAGGACTGCACTAGTAAACTGATTATGCTTTACATGGGATCATGCATACCACCATAATCAGAGTCCAACAGTTTGGGTGTTGAGTTTACCATATGGTGTTGGATTTTGCAAGAGTGAGGAAGGTTCCTATAGTAAATCACTCATGGGATTAAAGTCCCTCTCCAAGTTGCACGTGACTGGCCTTGTGAACGGACTTGTGATTTAATGTCCCCGAACCAGGGATGGGAATTTTTCCGGATTTTTCCAGATCCATGTATTGTGAAAAGCTTAAATGAGGAGTTTGCATCTGTGTATTTTTTCTCTAGGGGTCAAAAGACCATTTGAAATAATTACAATGGGCAGTTTTTGAGGAGTGCCTATAAGAGTACCATGGATAAACCCTATGTTGCCCTTGGACCCTGCCAAATATTTTTTCATAGAGATTTGTATATTTCCCAAACCTCATCCCTGCCAAACTTATGATGAACTTGTTATGGAGTTGACTGCAAGAGTTTTAATCTTGCAACCACGATGGGAGACTTTTGAGACGTTGGTGGCGGCAAACACACCGGTCCTTTTTCCATTGTTTGCGTCATATTGAGCATGCGCCCCCTTAGCATAAACATGACGTAAACAATTAAAGAAGGACCGGTGTGTTTGCTGCCACCAACGTCTCAAATCTCTCCCATTAGAAGTCACCACTTAGACAGCTCAGTGAAACCTAACTGTTGATCCTAATGGAGATTTGTCCTTGGTATTAATACAGGCGGAGAGGCAGAACCTCCAGCATTACTACGTCTACAGCTACACCGCGATGATCATCGCTGCTGCCTTGTTGTCCTTCATCGCAACCTTAGTGTTGTTCCTATCAGGCATGGTGGCAGCCAGGCATCTGCATTCCTGCATGCTGGGCGTCATCTCCAAGGCCCCCATGCGTTTCTTTGACACCACGCCTGTCGGGAGGATCCTCAACCGTTTCTCGTCGGACACCAATGTCATCGATTCTGTAAGTGGTTTTTTTTCTTTGTTAATATTATTTGCTTTCATTATTTGATGTCGTGATAAACATAAGACCGGACCTAAAGCTTCAGAAATAAGAGTGGTGCAAAATACTCTGAGCCATAGGGGCGTTTGTCTGGAAGAGGCCAGTTTTTGAATTCAAAGTGAATGGTGAATTTGACACCCTTCATTGAGGGGGGGGGGATTTATCAGGATTTTTCCTGATCTAAGGATTTTTTTTTTTTTGTCGGGATTTTTTTGTGATTTCCAGAATTTTTTTTGTCAGGGTTTTTAAACAATTCCTTTTGAAATCTGGAATCCAGACCCAAATAACCAATCCATTAAGTCGCTCCCACTGTGTACGCATGCAACGTGAGCCTCTCCGATGCCACATTGCATGTTTACAATGTGCGTCATACGCTCATGCACCCATGGTGGAAATCAGTCATGGTTTTTGGTTCTTGGTTGGTTCTTCTCCTAAATACTCCACGTCGGAGTTTATACAGGAGGCCAGAAACACCGGGGCAAACCCCTTCTCTTAGCGATAAGTGTTTACTGGGTTCTTTTACGTGCATTTATGCAACACACGAGACCTACGGCTTAACGTCCCATCCGAAGGACGAAGCAATACTGGTTAAGTGCCTTGCTTAAGAGCACAAGTGTCCGGGCCCGGGCTCGAACCCACGCCACTGTTGCCTCTGAAACACCAGAACATGAGTCCGGTGCTCTTAACTGCTAGGCCATGACACTCCATGGCATGGCATTTGTCCTGGACACAGTAATTTGTCCTGGACATGTTCCGGGGAAACTTTTTTAAGCAACTGCTTGACTCACCAATACTGATAACTTCATTGCAGGAAGATTGCAGGGAAGTTGTTCAGAATCCTGCAACTTATACCTGACACAATGTCCGCAACTTGTCTGGAACTCGTTTCAGGTGAAGGTACGACACAAAAGTGTCACACAGAGAGTCACTGCGCAAAAACAAGCATTGCGGAGAGCAGTGAAGCATGACCCAATCTGCCTGCTTGCCCTGAGCTTAACCACACAGAATAATTCCGCAGGGCTTTGAAGTGTTATCCATACTCCACAGAAGATCACCTCAAAGAAATTTGAAGTGTGGTTGCTTGCAAAACTTGAAGGGTTGTGAAATGCAGAAGACCAGAAGGTTTAAAGTGTCATGGAGTTTCAGGTATAGCAAGTGTTAAAATGTCAGTGTTTGTTGTTTTCCCCAGGCCTTGATGAACAACGTGATGTTTTTGCTGGAGTCCACCTTTAAGTGCCTGACAGCGATACTAGTCAACAGCATAGTTAGTCCCATTTTCATCCTAGTCATGCTACCTGTCTTCATCTGCTACATTCTCTTACAGCGCTACTACATCACTACATCCAGGTAAAAAAAGCTCGCCCAAAGCAAATGCATTAAAAAAAAAAACATTAAAAAAATGCTCCATGCTTTCTAAGAGCTTCCAATGAAAATCTTTACAAGCTTACTTGGTGGGACTCACTGGTGTAGAAATTTCGCTACTTGACCACCAAGCAGGCCAATTTGAATCCGATACATTAACAGGTACTGCAGGTAGTGGTTTTTATTGGAATTTTGCATCACAGTGTGCAGTTCCAATGGGTTTTTCCTAAAAAAGTTAGCTGTTGGAGGTGCCATTCAAAGCAGACGTCATTGGACAATAGTTGGCGCTCTTCGATGCAGGAAGTACAAAAAGCTGTGAATCACCTATTTTTTGTTTGTTTTACTTTTTTGGTGATGAGGCGGGGGGGGGGGGGGGAATGGCATCATGCCCCCCCCCTTCCTTAATATGCCACAGGTTATTGAGTGGATTTGTCTGATATTAGGCACTTTCAGATAAGACAAAGTGAATTCCATGCACAACGGAGCTTGATATACTCTTGAATGACATTGCTTCCACATACCAGGCGCCCATAAGGGCCAAACACACAATCCAAATCTCTGTGTCGGGCCCGGGTCCAATGCGGAGATTTCGGGAACTCTTTTCACACTAGCAAGAATCAAACTAGCCAGAATCTAAAGGTTTCAACACGGGTCTGCACCCGACTTCATCAAACTCTTCGTAACTTACGATGCATCGCAGCGATGCGACGCGTCGTATCTCTACGATGCGTCGCAGCTGCGACGCGTCCTGCGATCCATTTCACAAAACACGTCGTAAGTGCGACGCGTCATAGGTGCGACGCGTCGTAGGTGTATTTATAGCACAACTCGGTGACTTTTATGTATCATGTCAGCGTACAGTAAATTGTCATCTGATATTCAACAAAGAGTCGTGGGATCTCAGCTCGAAATTTGTTAAAACGTGAAACAAAATGGCGGCCGTGCGATGCAATTTTGAAGGAAAACAAGCTCTCATTGGACTGTATAGCTACTTTGAAATTTTAACTCTAATATTCCGGTCTAATTCATAATTAGTCAATGAATTTTCTATTTACAACTTCACACACATTGCCTCGGTATTATAATCTCGTTTATGTAATGTTTATGGCATAAAACTGGCTTAGAAAATGACTCTATGAGCGTTTTCGAAATGACTGGCTTTGGCTTCGTCTTCGGCTTAATGACATTTTAGGCCCTGACTTCGGGGACTCCAGCTACATTTTGGTGCCTGTTATGCTTCAGGAACATTCAATCGGTTGATATGAAGACAAAAGTTGGAATAATTTCGTTTAATTTGCCTCTTATTGATTCAGAAGTAGGAGGCGAAGCCGAAGCCGAAGCAAAGGTTTCGAAAACCCCCTATATACGTCGTAACTTGCAACGTGTTTTAAGCCGTTGTCAAGTATCTTACGACTCGCGAATTGCGACGTGTTACACGTCGTAACTCAAGTTGCGACGCGTCGCAGCGCTTCGTGAAATCGGGTGCAGGCATTCTACAGAGGTAAAATCCAACTCTGTTCGGAACCAGGGTTGAGGGTGCACACTGGATTAAGAATGAATGGTATGCCTGGCCTGCCCGTGTTCGGTGGGACCCAGTTGCACTTGTGGAGCCGTGTTGATTTCAACATAGGTATGCAAGACGATGGTGTGAAAAGGCCAATAGTCATGTTGCTGGTGCTTAATTCTCACAATGCACTCGCAAACTATTTTGCAAACACAAGTCCTGGACACTGGAGTGAATCATCTTAGTATACAAATGCTTCGAGTGGTGTAGTAAAACTAGCCTCCCGAGGTGATCCATGAAGCATTCTATTTTCCCTTGAGGCGAAGCCGAGGGCAAATGGAATGCTCAACGAGATCACCGATATAAAGCATTCAATATTTGTTTTATAACACCTCAATCAGAGATTCTGCTTGATTTTATGCAATATCTGATTCATTTAATCTGAATGCTATTAAAATTTACTTCTATTTGAATATGAAATTCAATTTTTTTTCAAAAAAAAAAATTCAAAATTTTATACTTGCACTTTTCCAAACTACCCTGTAAAGAAATGTTTGAACCGAGCTCTGTAGCGCTAGCGCTTGGGAACAACATGCGCAATGTGCACACCTGTATGCATTGGCACACTATGTACAGTACTTGGGTTGCTACGGGTATAGTCCTTATAGCCACGCACAGCAAGGTAGCAAAAATATCTAATGCCATGTGACTTGCCCTTGGCCAATCAAGATACAGAATCTGTGGGTGAGGTGTTATAACAACGGCTAGTCTTCATGCATGGAGTCGATCCTGAAGTATTTTGTCCGTCTGAACAGGGAGTTGCAGCGACTGGATAGCATCACCAAATCACCCATCTACGCTCACTTCTCGGAGAGCTTGACCGGGCTGTCAACCATCCGTGCATATAGGTAAAGTACAGGAAACCATTGGTTATATACTGCCCTCTCTTGGTGTCTTTGAGACAGTGGCAGGCAACAAAGTGAAATATCTGCTGTTACTCGTGCACAGAATGAATTGATGTACAAACATTGTACAAACACCAAATCCGGCAAAAACAACTGTTTTGATACAAAACACTGGTGTAATTGTATGGCTTTACGAAAGAGGACAGACACACAAAGGGAGAACTATAGATCCTTTCAGTCCTCGAGCGTTGGGTCTTTTGTTAAAAAATGGTCCTCGGTCGTAAGGTTATGTGCTTTATTTGGAGAGTGTTATATTACTGGGACAAAGGAAAAACACAAATCATTGTCCTCGGGCGCATAGAAATTCACGACTGTGGGAACAGATGATGCCCTTGTCTTTTCTCCTTTATAAAGAAAAAACCAAGTGCTGATTTTTTTTATTGGTAGTTAAACAAATGCCCTACATAGCTTTGCAAAAAAAATGTCAAGCCACATTCAGTGTGATTCTGTTTGGTTTGTTTTACTGTGCTGAGATTCTCAGCTTGTGCCTAAAATTAAAAAAATGAAACTAAAACAAAAGTCAACTGTCAGCTCAAGTTAACTGTGCCCTGGCACCCTGCTGTATATCAGTATACAAATATTGAGTGGCTCAGCGTGGAATGGGAGGAATATTATCGCAAGGTAAAATCTGGACTTTTCCATTTCACGAGGCGAAGCGGAGTGAACTGGAAAAGTCCAGATTTTACCGAGCGATAATATTCCTCCCATTTCACAATTTAAAGCCAATCAATATTTGTTTTACATAACTGACATATAGATCCTTGTCATTTGGTATATTTGAACTTTTTTTTCAATACAAAACTGGAGGAAAATGTATTTCTCTCTTCCAAACCACCCTTTCACGAAAATGTTTGAACCCAACGCTGTAGCGCTGGCTCTTTGGAACAATACACGCTACGCGCAACGCTGAACGCGCACACCAGCATGCATTTGAACACAAATACCGCGTCATGATCCTAACTGTTGAATAGTATTTCCCATTCCCCATGGGCGGAGAGTACTTTTTGAGCCGCGGCATGAATGGGAGCAATAACGAATGCCACGTGATGTGAGTTCCACCAATCAAATGACAAGGATCTGTATGTCGGTTATATAAAACTGACAAGACCATGATAAGTGGTGTTACAATCAAACAAGTAGGTCAATTCCAAATAGTGCATGATATTAGCCCAACATGATCTAGTGCTAGTTAGTCTTCGTCAGTGTTAAAAGATCATGCCCTGCGCTCCTCAAAATAATAAAAAAAAATCTCGTAATGAAATTTCAATTTGTTCAATTTCAATTTCAATGTTTTGTTTTAATGAAAAAAACCACTACTTTTTCTCAAATTATTCTCTGAAAAAAAAGGGCTTTCATTTTTTTATTTTGCGCACAAATCAACCCTCCCTGCACGAGCCGAATTATTGCCGGGTAGCAAATTATTAACATTTTGTGAAGACTTGCCTGACATAATTATTTTTCAGGGTGAAACTCAAAATGCATCTTTAACCCAGTTTTTGTGCCGCCTTGCTCTATTTGTACCCAGAGATGAGAAGAGGTTCAAAAACCATCTTCTAGATTCCATTGATAACAACACCTTAGCGCACCTGTATGCAAACACCTGTAACCGCTGGCTGGGAATACGATTGGTTAGTATCTTTGTTTCTATTCTACCACTTACCTAACCTTTTGTTAGTACTCGAGTAATATACAAATATTGAGTGGCTCAGAGTGGAATGACTTTACCGAGCGATAATGTTCCTCCCATTTCACAATTTAAAGCCACTCAATATTTGTTTCAACTTCTATTTCAATACAAAATTGGTGGGCAATGTACGGTATTTCTCTCTTCCAAACCACCCCTTCACGAAATGTTTGAACCCAACCCTGTAGCTACTGGCTCTTGGGAACAATACGCGTTAGGAACAACGCTCAACGCGCACACCAGCATGCATTTGCTCAAAAATACCGCGCCATTGAACAAGGAGGATCCTAACTGTTGAATTCAACTTGGGCGAAAGGGACTTTTTGATCCCACGCACGAATGGGAACAATAACGAATGTCACGTGATGTGAGTTCCACCAATCAAATGACTAGGATCCGTGTGTCAGTTATATACTACAACATAGTGCCCATCTCATCTGCAAAGGTACTGATTCCAAGATCTGCTTGTGAAGGACAAAAAATTGAGGAGTTTGCAATGCGGGTCCCGTGAAAAATGCCATAGCAATTTTGGGCTGAAAACTTTGTTTCAACTCCACAGTGCTGCCTAGAATACTCTTTATGCTCTGGTAGGAACTTCTAATTTTCAAGTTACGGAATTTTAAACACAACCACAGTTTTAAAGTTCTGTCCAAGGATCACAAAAAGGTAAGTGTTCTTTCAGCAAAACGAAAACAAATCACATAGGGATGTGTGTGAATTGTTTTCATTCTGCTGAAAGAACGCACACCTTTTTTGGTGATCCGTGGACAGAACTTTAAAAACGGTGGTTAGGTTTAAAATACCGTAACTTGAAAAGTACATGAGTGATTTGAATGATTCTTTTACAAAAAGAAAGCTTACGAATTGGGCTTTTATTTTATCCTACATTTTGAAAGTGCTACATGCAGAACTTCACTAAAACCTGTGGGTTTCTTTTTTTGGATTCAGCCTGAGGTTCTACTATACCAACTGATAGTCTCTTCTTTTTAATACTTCCCGTCTCTTTACAGGATGCAGTGGGTAACCTGACCGTGTTTATAGCCGGTCTGACTGCACTCATTGTGGCTGTCACCTCTGACCTCGAACCCAGCTATGTAGGCCTGGCATTGGCCTACTCCTTGTCTGTAAGTTTCAATTGTTCATAACTATCGTACCAAGAAAAACAACCCGGATGGGTCACCTACATTGTATATTGAGCTGTGTAATTCACACGCCTAAGCCTACATGCTTTGCGTGAGATTCCACAGTTTTTCTTCTGTGTTCTCTGATATTATTTGGCTTGTTTTTTTCACAACCACATCTGGTGTTAGGTTAAAAGGCAATCGTAGGGCGCCCTCAGTTTCTGACAGAGCACGGTACAGTAAAGTTTACGCAATGAATGACATTCCGCAGGCCAGAATCAATCCAATGCAGAAGCGTGGTAGAATAACCTCAATGGAATTTTATTGAACACTCACGGTAGATTTTACAAAATGAAGTGCAGTATAAAGGTAAAGGTAATGGGGACGAACCTGTGTTCACAGGAACGGAGTGCCCATCTCTCTTTCCATAGCGATTGGGCCAGACTCGAGTCCATGAAATGCTGCTGTGGGGGGATCGCCACACCTCCTCCACAGCGAGTCTGTTACCTTCCCAGCATTGAATAATGCTGGTACCCATTTAACACCTGGGTTGAGAGGAGTAATGGAGGTAAAGCGCCTTACCCAAGGGCACAACACGCATGGCCACTGCGGGGCTTGAACCCACAATCTCACGATCATGAATCCTGTGCCCTACCACTAGACCACACGTGCTTAAGAATTCAAAAAATTGTGGCTGATACTTGCGCCACCTATCAACTTTTCACCCGAGTAGGTACCAACCTGAAAAGGAGAACCAATGAAACAAAGTGTTGTTTATTTCTTTTAATTCTTCCAGGCTGCCAACATGCTGAATTGGTTCATTCGTCAGACCTCGCTGATTGAGATGCAGATGAATGCCGTTGAGAGGATTAAGTACTACAGCGAAATCCCGACAGAAAATTACCAAGGTACGAATCATAAGTGTCTCCAAAAAAAAATGGAAGAACATACCAACATCTTGCACTCAACTAGGATAGTAATCAAACATTACTTCATCAAGTTAAATGACAATTCACAAGTCCATCACAACTCCTCAAAAGTCCTTCCGTTTTTAGCTAATCTGTAAAATGACTGGATAAAAAGCAGTATTATCACACGACATTATTTCTAGCCATTGATTACGAGGAGCTGGGGCACATCTTGTCTAGTACCACAGATTGTTGAGCTCATTTCTCATTGCTTTGTCACACAGGTGAATTACCCAAGGCTGAGTGGCCTGACCAGGGAGCAGTGTCAGTGGATAATATATCGGTGCGCTATGCTGAGAAACTGGATCCTGTTCTTCAGAACATCTCTGTGGATATACAGCCAGGACAGAAGGTAAAGACTCATCATGCACATTTTTTTTTTTTATAGAAAATATCATTTTGACCCATTCAGATTTGTCACTAAAGCCGGCCTCAGGGCGATGTGCGATTTGCTTGCGCTGGGAAAGAACCATCAACATCAGCATCAAGCACAAATGACATGCCCAGGTCACAAAACTGAGAAATTGTGTGATTGTCGTTGACCAAGCTAGACATAGAATTAGATGATCCAGATGCATGCACGACGTCGTGACTTCTCACAGCTTGACTGCAATGATTCCCGCTTGTCGAGACCACGTTCCGTCTCGGCGCAGAAGTTGAAATTTGTCTACTCTTGGAACTGTTGATTGGTTTTTTAGCTTCAACTGCTGCTGATCCTCTTAATATTGTCGCAGTTACACTCGGGTCTTGAAAAATTGGCAACTGAAATGTTGGCGACAGTCGTAGCTCAGGCGCAGCTTGATCTTGGAAAGTCAGTTGCTAACTGTTCTGTGCCGTCGCAATAAGTCTCCTTTTTGCCGGTCCCAGAGGGCCAGCCTTGAGTCTTCTTTGTGCCTGACTGAATGACGTGACCGACTGACTGATCACTTGTGAATTAGACTTGCTTAAAGGGAATATACAACATATGCAAACATCGAAAAACAAAGCTACCAAGTTTTTACGAAATACCTCACTAGGATGTTGGTAAATGACAGTCTAAAGCATCCTGTTAAGTTATGGCACCAGGTGTGAAGTCATTTTCAAGAAAAGTGGTATTTTGTATACATTTCCAACTGTGTTCGGCCGACCACTGTTGGAAAAACCTAACTATTTTTCAACTACTGCTCCAAATTTATCATTTTTTTCAGTCCAAATTTTGTTTACTAAATGGTTACATGTTCATGAATGGGTGCAGGCCAGTTAGACTGGTTCCATTACCTTACAATTTTCCAGCATCTATAAATGGATCCATTTCATCTTTAGTGGAGTCAGGGAACCAGACTCCTTGAACATTTTTGTATTTCTTGGTTTTTCCAGCATTTTCGAACACAAAACTTCAAACATGTCATTGTAACAATATTTGATCTGTTATACTAACCCTTAAAATAGTTCATTTCTGAAAATTACAGCAAAAGCCAATGATGTACATTAACCTCGCCATGGCCCCAAAATATGACTCAGATGACTAGAATCCTCAGACCAAACTAAGTGGTCTGTGACCAGTTTTACTAGACTTGCCTAGTCTTGTTTGACTTGTTAAAGAATTTGACCCAAATTTGACCCAAAATTCCATCAAAGGCTCTTTGATTATAATTTATATGTCCTGAAAATAATATGGGTTTTTTTTCGGGGGGGGGGGGGGGGGGGTTCGGACTATTTTGATGTTGGTGGCGCCATTTACACCCCTATTATTCTACTAAAAAATTGGCCACATACATATCACCACGGTCAAATTGTGGAACTAAAAAAATTAACAACCTCTTGGGGACCCTGGTAAGTTGTCGAGTGGTCAGAACATCTGCACACATAAACAGGAGGTCAGGAGTTGGAGGCCCGATGAAGCCTGTGTATTTCTTCTCACAATCTCTTTGACATAGCTGAACGTACGCGTTTGTACCATAGAGCTACATTAAATTACTTGAGCGCTAACTCGTCATTCTGCGCGCGGAGACACTTTGAAGCCGTCCTGGGCGCAGACATTTTGAATTCATGTGCGTGTTTGTAGAACATAATGAAGTTATAATGCGCAAGTAGAACATACGCAAACAACTTAAGCGCGTCATTGACGGTCCAAAAAAACGTGACGGCAAAAAGCATCTGCAGCGAATACGCGCACGCGTTGCGCTGTTTGCGTAGAGCAAAATGACACGCTCATTTGCTGATCGTGCGTTTCGGTTTTGGGCGTATTGGCTTCGATAACGCACCGGTTTGGAATACAAACGCAGATATGCAAATAGCCGTACAAAAGCCGTACAAAATTTGTAGGTTTCCATAGGTTGGTGCACAAACATGGATGCGCTCAGCAGGCATTACTTTGTACACGAAGTTAGCGCTCTAGTAATTTAATATAGCTCTATGGTTTGTACATTGAAAGCTGCTTGTGCATGAAAAGATGGACAGAATCGCTTCATTGGTCAAATTTGAAGGATGTAAAGTTAAGATTCTCAAAATGTCTATTAGCAGCAGTGTGTCTTTTTTCTTCCAAAATATTTGACCAAATATGTGAATAAATCTTTTCTGTTTTTCCCCCTCCTTTTTATCTTTCTGCACTCCTTTAGATTGGTATATGTGGGCGTACAGGCAGTGGCAAGTCTTCCCTCACTCTAGCTCTATTCAGAATTGTAGACACATTCAAAGGTCAGTTCTCAGAGTGCTTGGTCCCTGCTCTGAATTCTTTTTACCAGTTTGCAGAATTATTTAAATGATACATTTTTGGGCCTTGCCCTTCCTTCTTTTCTGCAATATCTCTTCTTTGCATGGGATTTCAAAATTTTACTTTCCAATAAGTGTGGTATTTCAACTGTGCATGTGCACAGTGATATGGGTCACGAGCCATTCGGGATAATTGAACTGTTCGAAGGCGTATGAATGCGAGCGCACGACGCTTGCATGTAAATTACCAGCAGAATGGGCATGCGCGTAACATCGCGTAACATCATGTCAGTGATGTTATCCTGAATGACCTCGGGTCATTGAAATACTGAACTGGCTTATTGAAAAACACTTCACACCAAAAAATAAAACTTGAAAAAAGGGAAAAAAACTTAAACATCCCTGCATAACAATTTGACAAGTAATATGAATCTATGTATTTTTAGGAGTTTCGTTCTTCATTGATAAATATTGTCGAGTTAATTCAATCTTTTAATTTTTTTTTGTAAATTAACAGAAAAACAATGTAAGCAAAAATAAATGATATTTATAACCTAATTTCTTGCCAGGTAAAGTCTTAATTGACAATGTTGACATTGCATCATTACCGTTGGATCACCTCCGACTGAAACTTTCCATCATTCCTCAAGACCCTATCTTGTTCAGTGGCTCGATCAGGTTGGTACAAATACTTTGTTTTTTTCCCCCGTTATCAAAAGCCCAAGAGCTCCGACCTAATCAACTTGTCTGTCTGGCTTAAAGGAATAGGATCATTTGCATATATCCCGGAAGTATCCTACCGAAATATAATCAAAAAGTTTACTTTGATTAAAGATCGTACTGCTACTAAACACCCCCTGAAATTATTCCATCTGGTTTGCTGTCATTTAAAAGAAATCAAGAAATGTAGGTGATTTCCAACGATCAGTCAGTTGAATGATTTTTGGAAATAAAGAGTGCTATAGACAAAATCGTGTTCCGTGATCAAAAGGTTGTGCATGGTTTTTCACTGTTTTCTTCAAAAGTGTAATATCCACTGAGCTGAAACATCAACAGGTTAGGTTTTGAACAAATCATACTTAATAATAATAATAGGTTCTAATATTGGGCTTTTAACTTAGATCAAAGCGCTTTACATTATTATTACCCCGATCATTGGGCCAATTAAACATTCCAAATACCATCTCAGCTCCCTGGGGAGTATACAGCCCGATGCAGCCTGTTTAGGCGCAAGGAAGCTAATTCAATCACAATAACCATCTCTGCCCTCACAGGTACCTATTTACTCCTGGGTGGAGAGAAGCAATGGGTGACAAAGCGCCTTGCTCAAGGGCACACGCACCATGACCCCAGGGCTGGACTCGAACCCACAACCTGCAGCTTTACCCACAGATCACGAATCCAGTGCCCTTAACCACGAAGCCACAGCTCTCCACACTTACCTATACTTACACTTATCTGGCAATCCTATTTGATGTTGCACAGGTTTAATCTGGACCCTCATGGTAAATGCAGCGAGGATGAACTGTGGACGGCGCTGGACATTGCCCAGCTCAAGGCAGTGGTCAGTGAGCTGGACACTGGTCTAGGTAAGTGCTATGACCATCAAAGATCCATCCCATGTCCAGTCACAAGTAACAATGATGTAGGGTAAAAGGGTCCAAGGATCACCAAAAATAATGTACGTTCTTTCAGCAAAAACGAAAACAATTCACACACATCCCTATGTGATTTGTTTTCGTTTTGCTGAAAGAACACTTACCTTCTTGCGATCAGTGGACAGAACTTTAAAACGGTGGTTGTGTTTAAAATTCCATAACTTGAAAAGTACATGAGTGATTTGAATGATTCTTGCACTAAAAGAAAGCTTATGAATTGGGCTTTCATATCCTAGATTTTGAAAGTACTACATGCAGAACTTCACTAAAACAATGGTCCCGACATTTGGGTTTCGGTTTTTTTTACTCACCCTGTATTGTTGTTCGGCCTTTAGATTCCAAGGTAGCAGAAGGAGGAGACAACTTCAGCATGGGTCAGCGTCAGCTGTTCTGCCTGGCTCGTGCCTTCCTGAGGAAATCCCGCATCCTCATCCTAGATGAGGCCACCGCATCCATCGACATGGAAACGGTAGGTTGAGAAAGAGCTAGAATTCTTCATATGTAAGAAATTTATTTTACCGATTTTCCAAACATGAGACTAGGGCCAAATTCCATGATGCTTTGCTTATGATCACTATTACCTTTCATGCTAATGCAGAAATTTTGCGTTAAGCAACCGTGTAATCATAGAAACCCTAGTACATATAATTGACGTGTCGCCGTTTGCAAGTTAGCCACGCCCCTTGGACAACCCTGTGGAGTTTTTGTACACTAAGTTTTGTTGCTCTTAGATTTTGCGCGTTCCGCATCCATTTGTATATCATGTAATTGGACAATACTTCACAAGCTGCATTGATGCGATTCTCCCGCGATAGCTCAATTGGATGCTTGAGTGCCCACACACCAAAATGCCTTGATGCTCAAGGTAGAATGGACCATCTGTCATTTGTGCATTTTTTTGTTAGAAGCAACAAATGTGCTCAAAGTCTATAGACGGATGCTTAACAACTTTTAACTTTGTGAATGCTGTATATTTTGAGCAAACACAATATTTTGGATATTCTGCATTTTGATAGCTTTGCAGCGTAAACCAATGCACCGCTACGATTCCCTTGCTGGATTGCATTGTTGCCCCTTGCATGATTGCCCCTTGCATGATTGCCCCTTGGAGCCTGGGAAATATTACACACTAATTGAATAATGATTGAAAAAAAAAACCCGCCGCAATAATGTCCTTGTCATAAAATACTTGAATAAGTGTCTCATTTTTTCTGTGTGCAGGATGACATTGTGCAGAAAGTGTTGGCAGAGGAATTCAGTGACCGTACCATTCTCGTCATTGCTGTAAGTATGTTTAATATCATGCGGGGTGCTGTGGTCCAATGGTTACGGTGTACGACTCGTCTGCCGTGGTACATGGGTTCGAATCCTGACCGTGGTAAGATGGTGTTTGTGCTCTTTAGCAAGGCACTTTACCACTATTGCTTCATCCATCGGATGGGACGTAAAGGTCCCGTGTGTTGTATAATGCACGTTAAAGAACCCAGTAACACTTGTCGCTAAGACAAGGGGTTCGCCCCGGTGTTTCTGGCAGTGGCCGCAGCACCTTGTACATAATGGGTCTCATATTTCTCATGTACTTCATTCATCTAATAATAGACATAACTTCCAGTGCCTTGAATACCTATACTCCGTTGCGATAATGCCTGAATAGGTATCTACAACGTAGCCTTACAGATACAGACAGATACAGATGCCGTCGTAGCACCCTTACCGCAAAATTTTCTACCACTCATCTTAGAGATTCTTCAAATATGATAAACATAACTCTGATTTTTCCCCTGAATTTGTGGTGTTTTCATTATCAGCTTGAGTTCAGAAATAAGGAAGGCAATCATGCTTAGTATTTAGAGAAAAAGGTGCTTACCGTAAGCACATTTTATGGCTTAGAAATGCTAACGCTAGTTTGAGCAAATCCTGCTGTCTGTTTGTTGTGTGTCTGTCTAATGTCTGACCCCTGTGGCATGTTTACAGGGAACCTTCTTGAATCAGGCAAAATCCAACGCTGCAGAAACCAAATGGCATATTCTTGTAATTCAAAACAAAATTGACTCCAGCCATTTCTCCAGACTCCAGATTTTTTTGACTCCAGATTTCCAGCCAATCTGGAAATTAGGGAAAACCTGGAAAGTGAGTTTGCATTTTTCCAGTCTGGGAAAGCTCAGAGAATTTGGGGGAAAAACACACCAAAAATCAGGGAAAACTGAGGGAATTTGAGAGTGACCCAGAAGGGAAAGTTTTTTTGCCGGTTTGGCGTATGTGCGTCTTGTACCATGCGTCCAAGTTGTGTCCAACAACTGACTGGCTGTGGTGGCTTTTTGGTGTTCATGCAGTGTGAATATAAATCTTAGTTGCTTTGCTGCAACCACCTCTCAAATGCCTCGTTGAAGTGAAAATATTTCTCATGGAATTTTGGAAATGTTTCAGGGAATGTCCAGGAAAACTCGGGTAAATTTTTTAATAAAGTGGTGGGAACCCTGCTCTATTACACTGGATGCATTAAATCATTAAAAAAAAAACAAGTTATTGAATTTTCGATAGTTATGGTATCATAAATCTAAAAATTAATGTGGCCTGACGTTGCAAACTTAGCAAGTTATTCTTCAGAGGCTAAAACTCATTTTAACAAGAAAAAGACAAACCCCTCAGCCAAGGGTCTGCATATGCATATGTCATTTCTGTTTTAGCCTCTGAAGAAGAACTTGCTAAGTTCGCAACGTCAGGCCACATTAATTTTTAGATTTATGTATTTCAGGTCCATCCAGTCAGTAAGCAGTTTGCAGCAGTCTTACTTTTTTCAGTTATGGTATCAGTTAGTTGGTCATTGGAATATATGCAGACCCTTGGCTGAGGGGTTTGTCTTTTTCTTGTTAAAATGAGTTTTAAGAAAATAATCCTTGTCAACCATCAGTGAACTATCGACCATCTGTCCCCTTCTTTTTTCTTACAGCACCGAGTGACAACCATCCTCGATGCCGATCGCATCTTGGTGCTGAACGAGGGCGCTATTGTAGAGTACGACACTCCACAGAACCTGCTGGCCCAAGAGGACAGCCAGTTTGCCTCCTTCGTCCAAAGTGCGCATCACTAATGCCATCAGGATTTATTTGGGATAAAAATCTGAAGAAAGTCCTTTTTCAGTTAATTAGGTAAGGCAGTAAAACTCTTCTGAGCTAACCTGCATGACAGCACTTACAGCCTACATTTTCGTTAAGCTGTAAGCATTTTCTCTTTATTAACTAATTATTACTAACCCAGTATTTTAAGAAGCATGCGTGTTGAAATAAGACAAATAGTTTAGTTTAGACATAAATTCTTGCCCTTGGTTCACACCCAAGCCATGTGTAACTGAAACAAACAAAAAAGGAGGGTAACTGAAAGGAAATAAAAGGGTGGGACCATTTTTGAAATTGCCTTTTTTAAGGTCTTGTTTTTTTAGACCGTCGCATAAGTGGGCCAAGAGTTTCCTGATAACTGAAATTTTTAAGCTTGCCATGGTTTTAAGCACTGTGCGATGTGTCTTGCATGAACTGTTCATATTGGGTACCGGCATTGTTCAATGCTGGGAAGGTAACAGACTCGCTGTGGAGGAGGTGTGGCGATCCCCCCACAGCAGCATATGAGTCTGGCCCAATCACTAATGAAAGAGAGATGGGCACTCCATTCCTGTAAACACAGGTTCATCCCTTTACCTTTTTCATATTGTATTTTATGTAAATTCTCTAGATTTAATGGAGTTAGGCTGAAAATCCATTCGTCTTTCATGGATTAAGTGTAGTGAGTACTGCGTGAAAATCAGTTGTTCGAGAAGCAACGCCCATACGTCATTGTATAGCCTACTGCGCTATCCGTTGAAATTTTGTAGGCTATAGGTAGCGATTTAAATGGATGACGCATACAATACGCATGGGATTTGTTGCCCGCAACTTATAAGAACAATGTTGTGGCGGGGTAAAAAGATAAATATTTATTGTTTGCTTTAAAAACGAAGCAGTTTATATGTGAATCTCATTCAAACAAACTAGGGCCTGCCTTGATTTTATTTCTCAAATCCTCCATTGAAGTAAAACATGGACATTCATACCCTTTGGTTTTTTTTTGAGAAGTTATAATCTGGTCAATGCTTATGTCATAAAATATGTACTTTGCCAAAGCTAATCCAAATTTGATTGAGACTTGATTTTCCTTCTTGCAAGTACACGTGGATTTACAGAGTACAGATCACGGATACGCAAGTGGTAAATGCACTGCGTAAATGGAAAACAGACACATGGATTTTCGGCCTTATGGCGTATACACCCATTGGGCAACAGTCGCCTGGCTTTTGCATGCTTTCAACCCTTCTATGGATTAAAATGTTCAGACGTGTCAGCAAGAAGAGCTGAGAAAGTGTATTATTGAAAATGGAGATAATTGCAGAAAATAAGACTTGTTTAAATTCTATACCACAAAAAAAACACACAGTGGCTATTCTTATTAAGTATGAGCTAACGCACATTATCTATTAAGCAGGGAAAAATCATTTACATTATATGCTACCTCAAAACTTAAAACTAGTATTTATAAAATTATTAACCCTAACCACCCAACCCTTGAAAATCCAACTGCATGTTTCTGTGATTCTGTTGGAGTGAGTACTGCACTAGTGAACTGATTTATGCTTTACATGGGGTCAAGCATACCACCATAAGCAGAGTCCAACAGTTTGGGTGTTGAGTTTACCATATGGTGTTGGATTTTGCAAGAGTGAGGAAGGTTCCTAGTAAATCACGCAAGGGGGTTAGGGTTAACGATATTTTGTACACGGTAGTCTTATTTGTCTTTCCTAAGCATTTTATAAACTTTATGTATTTATTTAATAACAACTTACTTATGAAGGGTTTCCCTTCGCACACATGGTGTGTCCCCTCCACATGTACAGGGTTCTCGAAAGTGATCCAAAAGCGCCCTCACGGGTTGGCGCACGGAGCCCATAGTCAGAAAAACATAATGTGGTTACGGGTACATTCTGGTAGTTTTTGTACCTGTATTTTCCTTCCATTTTAACGTTCTTGCCATGATGAAGAAAATTACTATTTGTAGCCTGAAAATATTTTAAGTAGTTTTGTAAGTTACTTTCTAATAATGTTGATTAACTTACCTGTAGGAGTGATCATTCTCAGCTATTTTGGAAACTATTTATTCATTAAGTATTTTGTCCAACGAAGAGAGTTTTAAATGAAAGACTTGTTTGAAAATATAACTGCCATCTGTACTGTATTCATGCAGAAGCTAAACACAGATGCAATGTTTGCATTGAAATGCACATGCGCAGTTTTCAAGTGAAAAATACTGAAATTGACGAGTCAGCAAATTTTGTGGGGAGCTGAATTGTTGCGGGGCAGTGTGACTCAAATTGAGGTAAGGCCAAAAAAAAAAATAAGTCGGTCTCTGGTCAGCGCGCGCGTCGATTTTAATCATGCGCGTCAATCTTTTTTTTTCCAAAATGTTCCGCGGTAGCTCCAACAGCGCCCTCTATTTCCGCACCTCCTCAATTTGTTTTACCAAAGAGCACCAAGGAATGGGAAATTGCACCAAGGCAAATGATCGAAAGCACCAAGGCAAATTATGGAGGACACCAATGTACATGAGGACACCCAAAAAGCAAAATAGTACACCCACCTTGTCTGTACAATCCAAGCTTGAAGAAAAAAAAAAAAGAAGAAAAAAAAAAAAAAAAAGCCGCGTGGCCGCGTCAATTCCGGAACTTTGGTCTGACCAGAGACCAAATATTTTTTTTTGCCTAATCATTCAAAAATATCAAGACACTGCCAACCAATAAAATATTTCAGTGCAGTGCAAATATGGGCAATTCCTGCGCTATGAAAGGAAGTGTTATGTCCGTGACAGAGCCAGTTAACCATGATATCTAATTAATGATTCAGAGAAATGATCCCAAACTCCTAGTCTGTAATCTCCTTGACCATCACTAGATGATGGATGTATGAGATTTGAAAAATACATGTTCAGGTTTTTCCACTGAGCTCTTAAAAGGAATTGCCCACAAGGTACTCATGTAACAGTCATGTTTTCTGTCTTTGTCCTAGGGAAAGTCTTGCATGAAGCCATTCTTGAAGAAGAACTTGCGCTAAAAAAACATCTGCAGCCAATGAAAATTTAAAATTTTGCCTGGGCCATTGTCAAAACTGCCAGTCTTTTTTGACAATTCATGTAAACAGTGACTTGGAGAACCATGGATAACAAATAGAATCCATAGAAACTATTGTAAGCGATAAGGTCTGAGAAATTTAATGCAGTAGATTTTACGTTTTACTTGACTTTTAATTCAAAGGGATAGATTAAAATTGTCTGGTTAAATATGAGTTTTGTTTGTTGTGCAATTGGAGAAAAGCAACAGTTGGATACTAAAAGCTGTTTAAATTGTCTTGCTTGAATTTGACAGTATTTCAAAACTTATTACGTTTGATCAATTGATTGGATGAAAGTAATAATTCTAAAGTTTTACAGAAATAACTGTAATACTCGGAATTTGTGTGTTTAGGTTAAAGTGTAATTTATTTGCAGTGATGGCACTGAGTTGGTTGAGATTTTAGTGTCTCTTTTTCAGAGTGACTATAAGGAGGGAGGGGAGGGGAGGGGTCGATGTGTATATGAATTAGAGGGGGGTGGTGCTAACAGTCAATTCCAGGGAAAAATTCACATGGCTGAAAAGTGGACAATGTAAGAAATCTTTAGAACAAGCATCACTACCTCAAATGTGGTACATTGTATCAAATTAAAGGGGATATCAGACCTTTCATTTGAGTGGTGTCCCAGTAAAATGAAATGAGTTTGTGATTTTTATGTTTAAAAAGCACGCTTTTTTTTGGGGGGGGGGCTAACATTGTGGATTTTCGGTAGTCATTCTTGCACCTTGTTTAAACATGCAAAGTGCAAGCGTTATTGTATATTTTTGGTTTTAAAGATGGAGAAAAAGGTTCACATTTTATCAGTCCGTCCTGATTTGAAAATCACAGGCGTGTGGAAAAAGGCACACCTGGATTTTTCTAGATGTGTGATTTTTCTAGGTGTGTGATTTTCTAGGTGTGTGATCTGTGGTCCAGGGAAATTCAGGCGTGCAATTATTCACACTTCTCGGGAAGCTTTTAGGTGTGCGATGGTGTGGGGGTGTGATCGCACGCCTCAAATCAGAAGGACTGTTTTATGCCACACAAGTTTTTTGTTTATAAGTTTCTTATGTGTTTTTACTTGGACGAAAGGTGGATGGACAAACTGTAACGTAACTGTAATGTAACTAACCAAGATTTTGTGGCAATGCTTTAAGTTGTTGAGGGAAATTGAGAAATGTTACATGTCAAAACGTTTATCATGAATTTGTTTTTTTATTCATGTCCTTTTTTTGTAACTGGTAACTTTGAGTCCCACCCAAGTAAGCTTGTGTTCATGAAGTACATCAGTGAAGGGCAAAACCCAATGCAAAATATACGTCTTCCCGATGCACAGTTCCCTCCCATGAATAGATATTAGTTTGTTAGTAATCGCTACTAATGTAATTCATTCGTATCAGTTTCTGCTTATATTGTTTTAATTGACCAGTGGTCAATATGTGTATGTAGACCCGTGGGCCAATATTACCTTTGGAGGAGCTAGTTGTTACGAGTGCTTGATGACATGTGCGTGTATCATTGGAGTACCACTTCAACTGTCCCAATCAATGGTCACTCCAGCTGTCTGCGTGGACATTGTACATGTAGCAATTCAAAAGCGTGATCATGATACTTGAATATTTGATGACATGAAACTTGGGATGATTGTGGTCTTGATTCAATAAGCCATTTGCAAATTAAATTTGATTAACATCTGGTACCCTGACTTGCTTGAATGCTTGGCACATTTTAACTTTGAATTTTCCAGACCAAAGAGACTGTTACTGCATTTTGTATGTCACGTGATTCGGGGCAAGCCTTGAGCTAGCAACCCCCAGCTCCGGAATGGTCTGGTGTCTTTGTGCCATTCTCAACCATTGTGAGCAATATATTGATGCTGTGCATCTCTTATGCAACTATGCAAGAGCTTGCCCCGAATCATGTGATTAGCAACAGCGTCTTTGGTCTGGAGAATTCCAAGTTAAAATGTGCCAAGCATTATGAGCAAGCCAGTGTACCAGGTGTTATTCAAATGGAACTCGCGAAGGGTATAGGCTATTCGCAAATGGCTTATTGGGAGAAGGGAAGGGGCCATGTATTTGACACTCATATGGGAGGGGATGGGAGCGGGTCGTCGAAACATTTCTATTGAGCCATGTGATGAAATGAGCATCGAGGGTGCTGATGCCGCTGGGTTCTGTGGGAGGACTGTAAATTCCACGCTCCTGCGAGATGTGTCAGGTGACTGCGGAGAGCCACACGGACAAGTGTCGGGGTGTGGTTTAGGATTTTAACAATTTATAGTCAGAATATTGCCATTCCAGCTTCTTTATAGGAGCTTGATTTTATTGGTGTTGGGTAGATCGTCTAGGAACAAAATCAGTCGGGTTGATGGAATATGATATATTTAAGTTAAAGTAGCAAACTCTATTTATATTATTTAAGACCGTTAGGTGTGCTATTTATAACAATAAAACTATTACCTCTGCTTGGGCAGTTCTGTTCACTGTGTGAGCCTCAAGCCAATTTAACCCTGCCATTTTTAACCTGAACTAGCAGTTAATTAATTACTTCAAGGCCGGTTCATTCTTCATGTCAATTTACAGCAAAGCCAGTACGTTAAGGTTCAGACTAACGTCGCAATGATCTCTGACCTTGTGGTGAAACTTGCTTCCGAGCAATTCCAACGTTATGAAAGGAAGTGTGATGTCCATGACAGAGACAATTAACCGTGGTATCTAATTAATGATTCAGAGTTATCTGATTTTCATTTCTAAATGATCCAAAACTCCTAGTCTGTCATCTCCTTGACCATTACTAGATGATGGATGTATAAGATTTGAAAATACATTTGGAGGTTTATTCACTGAGCTCTTAATAGCTCTGTCACAGACATGACCATAACGCTGGAATTGTTTTTTTTTTGTGAATACCTGAAGAATGAACCAGCCTTTGGATGTGGTTGAGATATGAATAATTAAGATAATCGTGTGCCTTCCAGCTTGGGGTGTGAATTAAATATTGTAATAAATGATAACACTTGTTAACTTTAAAAAAAACATTGTGTGGCAGTGATTTACATTTTTGAGTCGGTTCGTGTTTTGTATCATTTGAATTTGGTTTTCAACCCGGAGTGTATCTTCTTAAACCCATGAAAGCCCCTTAAATATTGAAAAGCTTGGAAAATTTTTGTTTAATGTTTTTTTGTGCTACAGATTTTCATATTAAGTGAAAACTCTGAGTGATAAATTTATAATTGATATGTACTGTTAATGCATTTCAATGTTATTTTAAACTTGAAGAAATTTACTGGAGCGGGGCTTGAACCTGCAACCTCGGCATTGCCGTTCCGGTGCTCTTCCAACTGAGCTATCCAGCCCTATGTTGGCGATTCCCTTAAATGTCTTTGTAATGTTGAATTATCAAGGGGCGCTAGTTAGAAGCCATAAACCCATATATATGCCATGTAGCCAGGGATCACGCCCTAGGTCACAAGCTACCAACATTATTAATGCTGCAAACCCGGGAAGTAAAGTTGAAATTATTTCAAATAAACTTTTTGTACAACTTGAGCCTAACATGAAACTGAGACAACAAAACAAAATATCAAAACAAAACAAAATATCAAAAACTGCTTTTGAATTTAGCTTCTTTTTTTTTAAAATTTATTTACAGCCACTATGTGACCCTAACAATTAAAACCTCGCATGCTTTCGTTGTTTTCCAATGAATAAATCTCCCACTTAAGATCACAATCTGCATTTATTTCTTTTAAAGTACTGTGAATACTGTGCCTCTAGCACTAACTGTGATTAATAAATTAAGTGAAAAGAGAGAATAGAAAACTAATTCAATCCCAACAGTTGAGGAGCAGAAAAAGAAAGATATCTACACCTTGTGAAAAAGGCCTGTTTATCAGAACAGATAAGATGGAATAGATACGGGCATCTTACACAAAAGGCACGCATACATTACTGATGCATAGTGAAGAAAAACAGTCACAATACAAAATGCATACAAGTGAGTAAATATACATTGTAAGTTCACCCTAAAATAGCATATACACATACATTTTTCTTCAAACTATACACAATGTGAATATGCAGGCTTCATTTTACACAAAACTTTCATTCATGTCAACTTTTTACTCTAAGGCACAAAAGTGCTTTCAATAAACTTAACATGTGTGTAATTGCTTTCAGTACATAATTATACTCTATGTATTTAATGCTAGTTAAATAAAAAGTCATTTGCAATTAATGTGCACATAATTTCACCCAAGAATTTCCCTTAAGTAAAAACCTCATTAGTGAGC